CAAGTTCCAGTGTCAATGGGCACTTAGAGAGAGTTATTGGGAAGGCTGCTTTTCAATCTGTATAGCAAGGTGCAAGGTTCTTTTTAAGCTACTCAGAGATGAATAGATCCAAAACATGATATTAAAGCTTTGCCATTTTTAGCACTTCCCATTGCTGAGATGCAGATTTACATTATACAGGCGTACCTCAGTTTACGAATTTAATTTGTTCCGTGGGACTTTTCGTATTGCGATAAATTTGTAAACCGAAACGCCGTTTTCCATAGGAATGCAGGAATCTGAAGAATATATTTTTAAAAATATATATATATATTTTTAAATATATTCTTCAGATTTTTTTAACATATAAAAAAGGCATTTTAACATTTATTTTTTACATATATTTGTAAATGCATTCCAAAAATGTAGATTTGTATTTTTAAAGACATACAGTATATTTGAAATGTTTTTTTAAAACTATTGTTCATGTATTTTGTAATAAAAAAACGCATTTCAACATGCAGTATTGAATTCATATTCAAATTCATAGATAGAAGATGTGAAGGGCCCCAACAGTTTCCTTGAAAATGTTTAGATAGAAGGTGTGAAAGTCCCCAATAGTTTCTTTGAAGGGCCCCAACAGTTTCCTTGAAATTGCTTAGATAGCAGGTGTGAAGGGCCTTAACAATTTCCTTGAAGGGCCCCAACAGTTTCCTTCAAAATACTTAGATAGCAGATGTGAAGAGCCTTAACAGTTTCCTTGAAGGGCTCCAACAATTTCTTTGAAATTGCTTAGATAGCTTGTGTGAAGGGCCCCAACAGTTTCCTTGAAAATGCTTAGATAGCAGGTGTGAAGGGCCCCAACAGTTTCCTTGAAAGGCCCCAACAGTTTCCTTAAAGGGCCACAACAGTTTCCTTGAAAATGCTTAGATTGCAGATGTGAAGGGCCCCAACAGTTTCCTTGAAAATGCATAGATAGAAGGTGTGAAGGGCCCCAACAGTTTCCTTGAAAGGCCCCAACAGTTTCCTTGAAAATGTTTAGATAGCAGGTGTGAAAGGCCTTAACAGTTTCTTTGAAGGGCCCCAACAGTTTCCTTGAAAATGCTTAGATAGCAGGTGTGAAGGGCCCTAACAGTTTCCTTGAAGGGCTCCAACAATTTCTTTGAAATTGGTTAGATAGCGGGTGTGAAAGGCCCCAACAGTTTCCTTGAAAATGCTTAGATAGCAGGTGTGAAGGGCCCCAACAGTTTCCTTGAAAGGCCCCAACAGTTTCCTTGAAAATGCTGAGATAGCAGGTGTGAAGGGCCCCAACAGTTTCCTTAAAGGGCCACAACAGTTTCCTTGAAAATGCTTAGATAGCAGATGTGAAGGGCCCCAACAGTTTCCTTGAAAATGCATAGATAGAAGGTGTGAAGGGCCCCAACAGTTTCCTTGAAAGGCCCCAACAGTTTCCTTGAAAATGCTTAGATAGCATGTGTGAAGGACCCCAACAGTTTCCTTAAAAGGCCCCAACAGTTTCCTTGAAAATTCTTAGATAGCAGGTGTGAAGGGTCCCAACAGTTTCCTTAAAGGGCCACAACAGTTTCCTTGAAAATGCTTAGATAGCAGATGTGAAGGGCCCCAACAGTTTCCTTGAAAATGCATAGATAGAAGGTGTGAAGGGCCCCAACAGTTTCCTTAAAAATGCTTAGTTAGCAGGTGTGAAGGGCCCCAACAGTTTCCTTAAAGGGCCACAACAGTTTCCTTGAAAATGCTTAGATAGCAGATGTGAAGGGCCCCAACAGTTTCCTTGAAAATTCATAGACAGAAGGTGTGAAAGGCCCCAACAGTTTATTTGAAGGGCCCCAACAGTTTCCTTAAAATTGCTTAGATAGCAGGTGTGAAAGGCCCTAACAGTTTCCTTGAAGGGGCCCCAACAGTTTCTTTGAAATTGCTTAGATAACGTATGTGAAGGGCACTAACAGTTTCCTTTAAAATGCTTAGATAGCAGGTGTGAAGGGCCCCAACAGTTTCCTTGAAAATGCTTAGATAGCAGGTGTGAAGGGCCCCAACAGTTTCCCTGAAAATGTTTAGATAGCAGGTGTGAAAGGCTCCAACAGGCCCCAACAGTGCATGTTATCCCATTATTCCATTATTCCTGGCAAACGTTCCTTAAAATCCTGAGTAGATTCCGCTGATGGATTGTGCAGATCTTCAGAATACTTAATGCTTTTTTTGTGTGTGTTTCCTGTATAATACTGAAATAAGTAGAAAGACATATAGTGAACTCTAGGATTTAGTACACCCGTCTGTGTATGATTGGTTAACTGCAATCAGACCATCTAAGGAGACATAAAAGTCAGAGGTTGTAAATATAAACCAAGTCACTGGAAAATTGCCTTGCATCCCTATTCTTAACATACATACTGCTATAGCTGTTGTAAGCTCTGTTTGGTCTGGGTGTTAGCGTTTTCAAACAAATGTGTGTGTTTTTTCCAAAGACAGGCACTAGACTTCTAATTTAAACAACGCTATACTAGGCAATTTCAGAAAACTGCGAAGAACAGTTTTAGCTTAACCACTACTCATTATATTATAAATGATTGTATAAAGGCTGTTATATGTGAACGACTTGGATCCAGGGGTGGACTGACAACCCATGGGGCCCCCCGGGCAATGGGGGATCATGGGGCCCCTGTGTCCTTGCCCAAACTCAAAAAAGCCTATGAAAAAGGTACCAGGGGTATTTCATGGGGCCCCCTACTGACCCCCTGGGCCCTCGGGCAGTGCCCGAGTTTCCATATAGTCAGTCCGCCCCTGCTTAAGATCCATACATAAACTACACAAGGTGCTGTGTTAGGGGCTTATTAAGCTCAACCCTTAAGGCAATTCATCAGGGGAGCCAGACCCAATGGGGTTTATTTACTAAAGCTGAAGAGTGCAAAATCTGGCTCACTTCTGCATAGAAACCAATCAGCTTCCAGGTTCTATTGCCAAAGCTTAAATGAACAAGCTGAAGTTAGAAGCTGATTGGTTTCTATGCAGAAGTGAGCCTGATTTTGCACCCTCCAACTTTAGTAAATAAACCCCAATATGTCCATGTAGCATTATAAGCTTAGCCATTCGGTATCACTGTATGAAATATTCTCATTCAATGCACATCCACATTGTGGGAATATGGTCTTACCACATTGCAGACCTTTCCCTCCTCAAATCACCAGGGGATATCCACAGCTTATAGTTGTTTCAGTAATAGTCATTCGGCCTCTGTTATCCACTTTCTCCATCATCATGGTGTCTGGGCGTGGGGGCGTACTGTGATGACATCACGTGACGTACTGTGATGTACAAGTGTAGCTTTGTCAGAATCCCCTAATGAATTGCCTTAAGGTTTGAGCTTAATAAGCCTCTAACACAGCACTCGGATGTTGCCCCTATTCAGGGGCGGACTGACCATTTAGAAACTCGGGCACTGCCCAAGGGCCCGGGGTCAGTAGGTGGGCCCCATGAGATACCCCTGGTACCTTTTTCATAGGCTTTTTTGACTTTGGGCAAGGACACAGGGACCCCATGATCCTCTATTGCCCGGGGCCCCATGAGTTGTCAGTCCGCCCCTGCCCCTATTGGACTATTATAGGGGTTGAGCAATAGAGCCACTCAGCACTGAAACTGAACTGGCATTACTCTTATTGGAGTTCATTTTCCTAAGTGGGATACTTTATGTTATATTACTTCTGTAGACAACCCCACGACTGGGAACTTTACAATATCTGGCTTATTTTAGAATAATGCAATACAACTGTGGACACTCATGGAAACTGTGGAACAACATTAAACTGCACAGATAGTCAGTTCTAGTGCCACTGTCCATATGGCCATCAGAAATACCTTACGTATCGGGACAATATATCTCCGCCCATAATATTGAGATAGCCCCAAGGGGGAGGAGATCTCCATTGCCCAGTCACTTCTAATTTGATGAAGAAAGGAGTTGATCCTAGGCTAGGGGGTATATACACTTCTTGAGATATCAGTACCTATGCGGTAAGTCATCTGCTCTCCTTGATCATATATATATATATATATATATATATTATATATATATATATATATATATATGATATTGATGGCCGGACGCTCAGATAGTTACATTGTTTTTAGAATTGTTATTGTGTTTTATATGTTGAAAGTATTGAACACTGTGTCAATTCTATTGCACTTTAATAAATCAATATAATATATTCGTTAATATGAATGATTTTTGATTGAAGCCTTAATTGCCGTCATAGTAACCCCTTGTTCCATACCCTCTGAATAAGATTGATTGTTTTTTACAGATTATATTTAGGTTAAGATGGCAACACTTAATTAGTGACTAGGCAATCAAGTAAAATTCCTAATTCCCTCCATTTTTTTGGCTGTTTTAGCAATAAAATCCATACCTGAATTTCAGCTTTAATGGTGAACAAAGCTCCTTAGAAGTAAATTGCAGTACATATTAGGTGCACAATTGACTACACCTCCATTATGAAATGCTCTACAAAGGTAAATACTTAAGCTGTCTGATGTAAAGCTTATTCGTGAATATCAGGTTACAAAAAAGTATATTCCTCAGTTATGTAAAGTTTAGTGAAATTCAAAAGTTAAAATAAGTCTTCTGTTCTTTCTTATGTACACAGTGAATCTGGAAAATAAAAGCTTTAATTTTAAAAGAGAATAAAACACATTCCTTTACCTTACATAAAACATTTGTTGCCTTTTGAAAAAAAAAAAAAAAAAAAAAAAAACTCTTGCTAAAAAAGAGAAGCTGTCATAAAAAGGACAGTGTGCACCAACCTTGCACAAACCAATCACATATCCACAATACAATCTGATGCAATGGATCTATTTATGTGTTATTGGCACTAGGGTTTTATTGGGGGAACTACCCCTCTAGTCTTTTATGTCTATAGAACATTTATTTATTGAAAGAATATCTCTGTTTGTATTCCTGCGTGCATTATATAAAATGTGGAAATTTAATTGACTTTTGTTGTACTTAGCTCTACAGGTTAAAGAGAAGGTGAGAGAAGAACCTGCCTATAGCCCAGAAGCAGTAAATATAAAAGTTCTGCTGCAAAAATCAGAAGGTAAATGAATGATTCAAAGACACATTTTATACAGGATGGTAGCAAAGAATGAGCACCACAAATGACTTGCTGAATGCTACCTCGATCCCTATAAATTTGGGATGAATTTATAAAAAACATTGCAAAGATTTTTCGATTATATCTCCCTTTCACCCTTCCATATTATCCTTTCACACAACGTAAAGTGACCCTGTCAGCACAGAGGGAACAGTTCTCTAAGCCCTCATGCACACTTTTTTTCAGCTGCTGTTTTTGGCTTTTGACGTTTTTTTCTACAGCTAGTAAACCCCCCAGCATGTTATCCTATGTGTCCATGCACAGATATTTATTTATTTCAGGTACTTATATAGCGCTGTCAATTTACACAGCGCTTTACATATATATTGTACATTCACATCAGTCCCTAACCCTCAAGGGCATACAATCTAAAGTCCCTAACTTACATTCATATACAAGGGCCAATTTAGACAGGATCCAATTAACCTACCAGCAGGGGCGGACTGACAAGTCATGGGGCCCCCGGGCAATAGGGGATCACGGGGCCCCTGTGTCCTTGCCTAAACTCATAAAAGCCTATGAAAAAGGTATCAGTCCCTAACCCTAAAGGGGCGTAAAATCTAAGGTAATGGACTGTAATCAATGTTTTTTTTGCTGGAAAAAAAAAAAGAACTAGTACTAGTGGGTTTATTCAGGAGTTTTTTAGCTGTAAAACCGCTCTAACGCTGAAAAACGTGGCATAACGTGGTAAAAAGAAAACTAAAAAAACCCACAAACGCTGCTAAACGCTAATGCAAAAACGCTAAAAAAAAAGCTGAAAAACACATTTTTAACGTGACTTTACATAGCTAACGTTACCAGCGTTATCAAAACGTCTCGTGTGCATGAAGGCTTAGGGATATATACTGCATGATGTTTTGCCTTAAAATAACTCAAACAGTATTAAGCTCAAAAGTAGTCAATTCACTAAAAGCATTACATAACAAATAGGTTAAAGTAATATTAAACCTTAGTATTTTTAGGTTAAAGTGTTACTAAACCCACAACAGTAATATCAGTCTGTATATGCAATAAAGCATGCTTGTTACACTCCCTGTGGAACCTAAGGGGTTAATTCTCTGCATTGCGAAAAAAAGGATGTTTTGATCCTGTCTTCTCTGATCCTCTCCTTCTTCTACATTATCCACTCCATCTGCTGAAAGAACAGAGCCTTGGGGGCAAGCTGCACATGCTCAGTTTTGGTGCGTATTGCTATATTGTTTTTCTTGGGAGAGGTCATGTGATCAGCACAGGGCTAATCAGCACTGTCCAAACAGAGGGCCAGGGGTCCTGCAGCCTCATAGGACAATTAGGGGAGAATGAAAACAGCTTCTACAAGGTTTAACCAGTGCTCTGCTGGACACTGATATAAGCCACAAGACTGATCTAACTGCTGATGAGAAAAGATATTTAGCATTTTTTTTTAATATTTTTCACTTTACTAACTCTTTAAAGTGGTCCTAAAGTTAAACAGTTTTTTTTATCTTAATGCATTCCCTGCATTAAAGTGTTACTAAACCCACAACAGTAAAATCAGTATGTATATTCTTCCAGTGTCCCCCTCTTATCTCCTGATAAGACATATTACGTGGAGTCGCTCTGCACATGCTCGGTTTGGTGTGTATTGCTAGAGAGGTTTTTTTTTTTTCTTGGGAGAGTGCATGTGATCAGCACAGGGCCAATCAACACTGTCCAGACAGGTCAGGGGTTCTGTATCCTCCTAGAGCAGAATGAAAACTCCTGCAAGCCTTAACCAGTGCTCTGTTGGACACTGATAGAAGTCACAAGACTGCTCTAACTGCTGATGAGAAAAGGCATTTAGCAATTTATATTTATTAAAATAATTGCATTTCCATGTTGTGTGTACTGTGGGAGACCAGATATAATGAATGCTGGGTCCTGGGTTTAGTAACACCTTTAAAGAGAAGTATGGAAATAGTATTTTTTCCCAACTTATACTTACCTAGGTGGATGCAGCATTGGTCCAATGCTGCATTTGTCCCCCGCCAGCTCTAAGTGTGAGAACTCAGCTATCACATGATCACTGATCGCTGAGTTCTCACAGCCACTCTGAGCAGAGAGCGATGACTGTCAGTCAAAAAGATCTTTAGCTGTACTTCCCCTTTAATGTGCTGAGCAATTAAATATACATTCCTCAATAAACTTCTTGTTAAAATTCTTCCCCCAGCACTTGCAGTTTACAACTTTCAATATCAGTGATTCCTGCTCTCTCAGTGCTGCTTCCCTAAGCTCCAGTGTTCACAGGAAACAGTGGACAATGCAGTCTCCAGTCTATCTGTCAGCTTGGAGAAGGTAAAGGGGAAGAGAAGGGAGCAGCAGGGAAGTGCCTTGCCATCCTAGGCTACAGGTCTTTGTGTTTCCTATTGATGTACCCAGTGTAGGGGAACAGAGCTCTAGTCCCTACATGCAAAGGCTACTCCATAGGATGCTACAAGATAGAGGAGCCACCTGCAAACAGAAATCCTGGGGCAGTGATCGCAGCACCAGCTTACACAGATACATGAGCAAGAACTAAAACATAAAAGAAGCTGCATATTCAGTAAGTAAGTCAGCTGCTGAAAGTTCTTTAAAAAAAAAATTGAAGATTCACTATTACTTTAACTATTTAGTGTGTTTTTTTTGTGTGTCTTATCACATTTTTTCACAAGCTAACACTGCACCAGAGGGAGACTGTCCTGTGAATGAGGATGCACAGAAATATTGTAAAATTACACAAAGATTTCAGTATGTCATTCACAGAACAGTCTCCCTTTAGTGCAATGCTACAATTTATTTACATTCCTGAGCTAGAGGGCTTAACATTTCCACCCTGATACGTTGTTTTCTTTTAACCTACTGGCAAGTACAGAGTTCCACTCATTATTTTGTACCTTTCTAAAATCTTGACTGCCTATACCCTTGGTGCCCAATCTGCAGCCTTTTGGCACTTTTTGTGTGTTCCTCAGGGATCTTGCAGGCACTAATCTGTATTTCCCTATTGCCCTGTTACAGCAGTTATTTCTAGCAGTCTCATGTAATATGTCTCCAGTCAATGAATGTCTCCTGAAGTATGTTCCTAGTCTCCAACAACTACTATAGAACTGTTGACCAAGATCTAAAAATAGATCGAACTGTTGAGACCAGGACCTAAAAATAGAACGAACAGTTGAGAACAGGATCTAAAAATAGATCAAACAGTTGAGACATGGATCACAGTCTCTGATAGTCTCCTGAAGCATATCCACAGTCTCTGACCATCTCTTGCATCATGTCCTCAGACTCTGACATCTCTTCAAGCATGTCTGCAGTCTCTGACCATCTCTTGTATCATGTCTGCACTCTCTGACCATCTCTCGTATCATGTCTGCACTCTCTGACCATCTCTTGTATCATGTCTGTCATCTCTGACCTTCTCTTGTATCATGTCCGCAGTCTATGACTGTCTCCTGTATCACGTCTGCAGTCTATGACAATCTCCTGTATCATCTCTGTGATCTCTGACCATATCTTGCATCATGTCTGCCATCTCTGACCATCTCTTGTATCATGTCTGCCATTGCTGACCTTTTGTATATTGTCCACGGTCTATGAGAGTCTCCTGTATCATGTCTGTGGTCTTTGACCATCGCTTGCATCATGTCTGCTGTCTCTGACCATCTCTTATATCATGTGTGCAGTCTCTGACCAACTCTTGTATCATGTCTGCACTCTCTGACCAACTCTTGTATCATGTCTGCACTCTCTGACCATCTATTGTATCATCTCTGCCGTCGCTGACCTTCTCTTGTATCATGTCCGCAGTCTATGACAATCTCCTGTATCATGTCTGTGGTCTTTGACCATCTCTTGCATCATGTCTGCCGTCTCTGACCATCTCTTGCATCATGTCTGCCGTCTCTGACCATCTCTTATATCATGTGTGCAGTCTCTGACCAACTCTTGTATCATGTCTGCAGTCTCTGACCATCACTTATATCGTGTCTGCTGTCTGTGATCATCTCTTGTATCATATCTGCACTCTCTGACCATCTCTTGTATCATCTCTGCCGTCGCTGACCTTCTATTGTATCATGTCTGCAGTCTATGACAATCTCCTGTATCATGTCTGCCGTCTCTGACCATCTCTTGCATCATGTCTGCCGTCTCTGACCATCTCTTATATCATGTGTGCAGTCTCTGACCAACTCTTGTATCATGTCTGCAATCAATGACCATCTCTTGTATCATGTCTGCAGTCTCTGACCATCACTTGTATCGTGTCTGCTGTCTGTGACCATCTCTTGTATCATGTCTGCTGCACTCTCTGACCATCTCTTGTATCATCTCTGCCGTCGCTGACCTTCTCTTGTATCATGTCCGCAGTCTATGACAATCTCCTGTATCATGTCTGTGGTCTTTGACCATCTCTTGCATCATTTCTGCCGTCTCTGACCATCTCTTGCATCATGTCTGCCGTCGCTGACCATCTCTTATATCATGTGTGCAGTCTCTGACCAACTCTTGTATCATGTCTGCAATCGATGACCATCTCTTGTATCATGTCTGCAGTCTCTGACCATCACTTGTATCGTGTCTGCTGTCTGTGACCATCTCTTGTATCATGTCTGCAATCTATGACCATCTCCTGTACCATATCTGCAGTCTCTTGACCTTCTTTTATATTATGTTAGCTGTCTCTGACATCTCCTGTATGATGTCCACAGTCCCTGACCCTCTCTTGTCTCATGCCCATAGTCTTTGGCGTTATCCTATTGTGTGTCTGCTGTCTCAGACACTGAATATTCACTAAATGTTATATGTGGCCCTTTGGCGGTGTAGAGGGCCACACTTTAGGCCCACCATATACAGAAAATTTACCACCAGTGGCCTATACCATGAAGTAAATAACAAATGTGTTTTGTTTTTTTGTGAATTGACATTAATGACTTATCTCAATCTTTTGTGGTGTTTGACTTATATATTTACTATGATTTTTTTTTCTTTGATAAATTGACTCTTAATAGTACATGCAATATTTAAAAAAAAAACACAAATATAGCATTCTATAATTTACCTCATGTTTACTGAATTCATGGCATTTACTGCAAATTCAATCTTTTACTTTGATGAAATGACCTATTTATTATCATATGTGAAACACAAATATTGCATGGTTAATGAATTGACCCCAGGGTGGTAATGAGGTACAAATATGTACAGTAGGTTACCTGTGCCCAAAACATTACTCTCTTTTCCCCTCCTTTAGGCTTGCATAGATTTTGCTTCTTTTTAATTATGTTCAATTACCCATTTCAGTACTGCATTTGTTTTCCTAAGCAGCATTACAGTCATTCATTTTGATTTGCACTGTAAATCAGATTTTCTTTGATTTTTCCATACATACAGAGGTGTCTATTGACTGCAGCTTTGATCATAAAGCTTGTGACTGGAAACAGGAAACTGAAGATGACTTTGACTGGAAGCAAGCAGAACGCAGCCAGGGTAAGTAGTATATATACTGGGTTAAACATCATTTCATCTTTTTCTTCCAAATGACAAAGATTTTCTACTATTTAGAATCCTTGAAGGTTTCCGTTAAAATATTATTTTTACCTGCACATGAGTGCAATATGGAGTATTTTATATTTTCTCTTTATTTACTCATGAGTGCTTCAAATCAACAGTAAAGGCTTATATAATTATATGAGGCTTGTAATGTCCTTATGGGAAGTGCAAGATACATATTCAAAGGAGTTGTCAGAAGGTAATGGGGAAGGAATATAGACACATAGGGGTAGATTCACTAAAACTGGAGCACTTAGAATCTGGTGCAGCTGTGTCTGGTAGCCAATCAGCTTCTAACTTCAAATTGTTCATAGACATGTGCTGTACGTTTCATCCCAAAATGAAATTCAGACAAATTCTTTGTTATTCAGAAATTCAGATGTATCCGAATTACAATAGTAATTAAACCGAAACAACGAAACGAAATGCGGATGAAATTCTAATCGAATGTGACTGAAATTTGGCTTGAAATGGAATATGAAAAGAATAGAATAAAAAAACATAACAGAATAGATTAGAATAGAAAAACAATAGAATAGAATAGAAAAACAATAGAATAAAATAGAATATAACTTTCTTCTGAAATTCGAATAGAAATAATTCAAATTCAAATTGAAAAGAATAGAATAGAGGAGAAAAGACTAGAATAGAACAGAATAGAATAGGAAAAACAATAGAATAGAATAAAATAGAATATAACTGTCTTCTGAAATTTGAATAGAATAAATTAGAATAGATTTGAATAGAATAGATTAGAATAGAAAAGAATAGATTAGAAAAGAATACAATAGAAAATAAAAAATAATATATTAGAATAGAATAGAAAAAACAATAGAATAAAATAGAATAAAACTGTCTTCTGAAATTCAAATTTTGAATAGGATGAATTTTAATAGAATAGACATTCTCCAAAGACATACTGCTAGGTTAATTGGCTCCTGTCTAAATTGGCCCTAGTATGTGTATGTATAAATGTAAGTTAGGGACCTTAGATTGTACACCCCTTGAGGGTTAGGGACTGATGTGAATGTACAATATATATGTAAAGCGCTGCGTAAATTGACGGTGGTATATAAGTACCTGAAATAAATAAATAAATAAATAGATTAGAATACAAAAGAAAAAGAACAGAATAGAAAAAAAAAATGGAATGGAATAAAATAGAATATAACTGTCTTCCAAAAGTCAAATTTCGAATAGAATAAATTCAAATTCAACTAGAATAGAAAAGAATATCTATAAAAGAATATAAATAATAGAGTAGAACAATAGAATAGAATATAATAAAAGAGTAAAAGAGAATATAACTGTCTTCCGAAATTTTTTTTCAGATTTGTACTGCAGATTTGCAAAACGTCAATAAAACATACGTTTTCTTTCATACACCAGGTGGTGGATTTTATATGTCAGTTCCAGCAAATGTTGGTCTCAGGAGAGAGTTTGGACGGCTCAGCTTTCCACTACCAAACATAAAGACAGATACCAATTTATGTTTGGCATTCACCTACCAATTAAGTGGAGAAAAATTTGGAAAACTGCGTGTGTTTGTGAATGAGAGCAACAATCCAGCATGGGAAGAACACAAAAGTAGAGATGAAAGATGGAGGACAGCAAAAATTGAAATACCCAAGACCCACAACAGAACTACTCAAACTGTAAGAAAGAGTATTTCTTCTTCTTTCTCCTAATCTATTACAAAGTAGAATATTAATCTATGGCCTAAAGATATAACATTGATGGGGACAGGGCGGTAGTAAGCACTTTATAGATGCAATGTCACGTTAATTATTCAGGACATAATGAGTGTCTGCAGATAGTTGTTCCCACCAAAATGTATACAGAGCGAGGCCCACACTCCTCCTTCTTGTTTCAATAATTTTTAGATGAGTGTAGAGGTGTGCTCAGTATAAAGGTTTGCCAGACATGAGGGTAGGTTTCAGAAGTCCATTGAAGTTAACAGTTCACAGGTAACAGGTAAAACCAACACATTTTGGGGGAACTGCCTCCCCTATCACCAGGGCTAGTATGTGGAAGAACAATAGACAATAAATGCAAATGATAAATATCTCATAATTGTTCTCACTGAATAATTTACATAACTTGTAAGTGGAGACATACACAGAAAAGATGGTGAAAGTAAAAAATGAAAAAAATTATGATAGATCACCTATATATTTTGTATGCATAGCTGGTTAATGTAATTCATTCATATAATACAATGATGTTCCAAATATACATATGGTTCCAGGTCATTTCAAGTTATATCCACCATCACAGCTTAGTCCCTCCTCCTTGCCCACTATTTCATATGAAACTATATACACTGCTCACAAAAATGAAAGGAACACTTTGAAAACACATCAGATCTCAATGGAGAAAAATATTGTGCTGGATATCTATATTGATATGGGCTGGGTAATGTGTTAGGAATGTAAGGATGCCCCATACTTTGATGGAAATGAAAATTATCAACCTACAGAGGACTGATTTCAAAGACACCCCGAAAATCAAAGTGAAAAAATGATGCAGCAGGCTAGTCCATTTTGTTGAAATGTCATTGCAGCAACTCAATATGGTAATCAGTAGTTTGTATGGCCCCCACGTGCCTGTATGCATTCCTGACAACATTGGGTCATGCTCCTAATGAGACCACGGATGGTGTCCTGGGGTATTTCCTCCCAGATCTGGACCAGGGGATCACTTAGCTCCTGGACAGTCTGAGGTGCAACTTGGCGGCGCTGGATGGACCGAAACATGAGCTCAGGTGAGTGTGGGGGCCATTTAATGATACCAATTCCTTCATCCTCAGCCTGCACACTCTTTCCACATGAGGCCGGGAATTGTTGTGCACCAGGAGGAACCCAGGACCCACTGCACCAGCGTAGGTTCTGACAGTGGGTCCAAGGATTTACTCCCGATACCTAATGGCAGTGAGGATGCTATTGTCTAGCCTGTGGAGGTCTGTGCGTCCCTCCATGGACATGCCTCCCCAGACCATCAGTGACCCACCACCAACACCGTCATGCTGAACAATGTTACAGGCAGCATAACATTATCCACAGCTTCTCCAGACCCTTTCATGTCTGTCACATGTGCTCAGGGTGAACCTACTCTCATCTGTGCACTTGCCAATTCTGATGTTCAATGACAAATGCCAATCAAGCTCTGTGGTGCTGGGCAGTGAGCACAGGGCCCACTAGAGGACGTCGGGCCCTCAGGCCGCAATCATAAAGTCTGTTTCTGATTGGTCAGAGACATTCACACCAGTGGCCTGCTGGAGGTCATTTTGTAGGGCTCTTGCAGTGCTCATCCTGTTCCTCTTTGCACAAAGGAGCAGATACCAGTCTTGTTGATGGGCTAAGGACCTTCTATGGCCCTGTCCAGCTCTCCTAGAGTAACTGCCTGTCTCCTGGAATCTCCTCCATGCTCTTGATACTGTGCTGGGAGACACAGCAAACCTTCTGACAATGGCACGTATTGATATGCCATCCTGGAGGAGTTGGACTGCCTGTGCAAGCTCTGTAGGGTCCAGGTATTGCCTCAGGCTACCAGTAGTGACACTGATGATAGCCAAATGAAAAACTAGTGAAAAACAGTCAGAAAAGATAAGTAGGGAAAAAAATGTCAGAGGCTTCCACCTGTAAAACCATTCCTGTTTTGGGGGTCATCTCATTGTTGCCCATCTAGTGCACCTGTTGTTAATTTCATTAACACCAAAGTAGCTGAAACTGATTAACAACCCCCTCTGCTACTTAACTGACCAGATCAATATCCCCGGAGTTTAATTGACTTGATGCTGTACACTGATTAAAAAAGTGTTCCTTTAATTTTTAGAGCAATGTAATTGTATTTTGTAGATTTTAGCCACTTAAGTTTTTATTCACTTGAGTTTTCTGGATTTTATGAATATGTGTATATTTATGTATGTTATATGTGTATGAATTACCTTAACCAGCTATGAATACAAATATATAATTGAAATATTGTGTATTTTTTTCTTTTATTTATGTTTATATTTTCATAATTTTTTCCATGAATGTCTCTATACAGAATAAGTTATGTCAATTATTCAGTGAGATATCTGATGAGATATTTATCAGTTGCTTCTATTGTTTTTCCACATACTAGCCCCGATGAAGGGGGAGGCAATTCCCCTGAAACACGTTGGCATTACCTGTTACTTGTGAACTGCTAACTTCCATGTTAACTCCTTTAACCTTCCCTGAAGTGTGATGAACATTTATACTGAAGGCGCCTATATAACCATCTAAAAGTTACCTGTGGAGATTCTTTTCCATTGCTTTCAGAGAGGCTGGCCTGGAACCCTACCTCCACTGGGTAGAAGCCCCCCAGAAGAGTAACCCACTCCGCAGTGTTTCCAATAGGACCACACCACCTACTAGTCCAGCACTGTCACACACATACATTACATTCCTGTTGTATCGCTAATGGAAAGCATGTGACCTTACCCATGTGACAGTGCTCAAGGCTGATCTACAGTAAGTCTGGACACTATCACATGAGGGGGGGGGTGTAAAGTTATCTCGCTGTAAGATATGATATCAGTTGTAATTGAAGCTTTGACAAGCTGAGATACTGCAGCAGGAAGGCAAAGAAGGAGAGTGACTCGATAAAAGAGATTGATGTTATGGTTTTCTTGTCAAATGCCTTGGTAATCTTTTCTATTTGAATGCAGCACTGCTTAAACATATTTGTGGATCGCAAATGCACATGAAAAGGCTGTGTTTGAGCTGCTTTGCCTGCTGTTCAAATGTGTCTCAATATGACCTGCTGTGTCGGAAGAATTGCAACATTAGGCCGGTCAAACACAGCCTCTGAACTGTCATTTTCACTATTTTATTGAATTTAATGGAAATTAGATGAGCTGCTTGTGTGAAAGTGAAACTGAATCAGTCAGAAACACAGGGGATGTTTTTCAGGCTAATAAAGGCAATAGTGGTCATCTCACAGTGACATTTAGTTCAGAATCAGCAGCTCAGCACTTTATTTATTTCAGGTAGTTATATAGCACTGTCAATTTACATATATATCGTATATTGTACATTCATAGTTAGTCTGGCTGAAAAAAGACATAAGTCCATCCAGTTCAACCATTAAAAAAAAAAAGTTATAATCCTATACCCACAGTTGATCCAGAGGAAGGCAAAAAAAGAATCCAGCAAAGCATGATCCAATTTGCTCCTGCAGGGAAAAAATTCCTTCCTGATCCCCCGTGAGGCAATCGGATATTCCCGGGATCAACTTTACCTATAAATGTTAGTATCCAGTTATATTCTGTGTATCCAAGAAACAATCCAGGCCTTTTTTAAAGCAATCTTCTGAGCTGGCCAGAACAACTCTTGAGGGAGACTATTCCACATCTTCACAGCTCTCACTGTGAAGAAACCTTTCCATGTTTGGAGATTAAATTTCTTTTCCTCCAGACGTAAAGAGTGCCCCCTTGTCCTCTGTGATGACCTCAGGGTGAATAACTCTACACCGAGTTCACTATATGAACCACTGATGTATTTATACATGTTCATTATATCCCCCCTTAATCTCCTCTTCTCAAGAGAGAATAAATTCAGTTCCTCTAATCTTTCCTCATAGCTGATCTCCTCCATGCCTCTTATCAGTTTAGTTGCCCTTCTCTGTACTTTCTCCAGTTCCCCAATGTTCTTTTTGTGAATTGGTGCCCAAAACTGAACTGCATATTCCAGATGAGGTGTTACTAATGATTTATACAGGGGTAAAATGATATATCTCTCTCTCTGGAGTCTATACCTCTTTTAATACAAGAGAGGATTTTGCTTGCTTTAGAAACCGCAGCTTGTGATCTACCAGAACCCCCATATCCTTCTCCACCAGTGATTCCGCCAGTTGTACCCCCCTAGTATGTATGATGCATGCATTCACATCAGTCCCTGCCTTCAAGGAGCATACAATCTAAGGTCCCTAACTCACATTCATACATACACATACTAGGGACAATTTAGACAGGATCCAACTAACATACCAGCATGTCTTTGGAGTGTGGGAGGGAAACCGGAGTACCTGGAGGAAACCCACGCAGGCACAGGAAATGCTAAATCATGTGTACATACATGATTTTACACAACATGGCAACCCTGTAGCAGTACATCTGCTATGGGGGTGGTCAGCAGGTGGTTATAGCTCAGCTTTACATTGACACAGATCCCTGCGCACTTCTACATTGCTTCAACCCCCACTCCACTCTACCTGACTGCAGTGCTGTTGATAGGTCTTGTGTTGGGTACTAGAGTATAGTACATATCAGAGCCGTCTCTCGCTGCCACTCTGCAGAATTGCATGTGGGAGCTGTACTGTACTTGTACAGAGTAAGGCTGTGTCCCATTCAGAGACTGAGGGTTAAGGGGTATTGTCCAGTTCGCTGTTATCTTTCTGTTGCATTACTTTGCATGTGTTCCATCTCTCTACATTCCCCACCCTCCCCCCCTTTTAGCTCACCACCATCTCTGGCCTCTATTTCTGGATTGCTTGCTAGAAGATGTAATATGTTATGATTGGGATAAAACATTCACTTGTTACATTTTTCAAACTACTTCACATGACAAACATGTGAGCTGAACTGTAACACGTCTGGAGATTTGTAATTATTGTAGTTCACTAGATCCATGAAAACACTAAGAAACATCATTCTTTATTGCCTGGACCTCTGAATTGTATGCCTCTCTGTGAATCATACAAACTGCTTGTGCATATCTACATAGTTAATATGGTTAAGTAAAGACACCCTTCCATCCAGTTCAATGTGACTGTGTGTTTGTGTTGTCATCACCGTTTTAAATATCCCTGTACATTGCACTCACTAAGAAGGACATATCAAAGTTATTTTTAATTCATCTACAATCCTCGCTGATGCTACCAACTGTGAAAGGAAGTTCTACATCTTTACTGCTCTAACAGTAAAGAAGTGCTTCTCCTCTAACTTCATTATGTGGGCGTGTGTCTTCTTCAGAGACCTTAGGTTAAATAGTGTATTCCCAATGCTAGAGTCACCATTCAAAGATTTGTATACAGTGGCCGTGTGTCTTCTTCAGAGACCTTAGGTTATGTAGTTTATTCCCAATGCTAGAGTCACCATACAAAGATTTGTATACAGTGGCCATGTGTCTTCTTCAGAGACCTTAGGTTAAATAGTGTATTCCTAATGCTAGAGTCACCATTCAAAGATTTGTATACAGTGGCCGCGTGTCTTCTTCAGAGACCGTAGGTTAAATAGTTTATTCCCAATGCTTGAGTCACCATTCAAAGATTTGTATACCGAAATCACACCCCCTGTTAAGCTTCTCTTCTCCAGAGAGAATACGTTTAATGTTTGTAGTCGTTCCTCATAACTGAGGTCCTCCAGCCCCCTTATTGGCTTTGTTCTCCTCCTCTGGACTCTCTCCAGTTCATACACATTCTTCCTGAGTATTGGTGACCACAACTGGCACACATACTCAAGATGTGGCCAAACCAGAGTTTTGTAAGTGGTAGAATTATAGTCTCATCTAACAGTCTTCTAGCCTTGCTTGCTGCAGCTTGGCATTGCATGCTATTGCTGTGATCTTCTGGGACCACCAAATCCTTTTCCATCCTGGATTCCTTCAGATGTTCTCCCCCTAGGGCAGAGGTGTATTTACTGCAAGGCAAACAAAGTGTTAGGGTGGCATTTTTCAGGGGGGCGGCGCCACCCCCTGGCAGAAGTGACACATGTGGCAGCCAGTGACTGAGGATGGGGAGCAGGTGGGGCACAGGCAAAGCAGTGCAGGCTGGTGAAGGGTATCTGACTCTGGTTCCCGGATCATCCACGTATCAGCGTTAAAGGAAGACATCGGGCTTTCCTGATCATGGCTCTGGGGGTGGCCAGTGGGTAATTGCTGGGCAGCACAGTGGCTAAATGGTTAGCACTTCCGCCTGGCAGTACTAGGGTCATTGGTTCGAATCCCAACCACGGCACCACCTGCCTGAAGTTTGCATGTTCTCCCTGTGCCTGCGTGGGTTTTCCCCGGGTACTCCGGTTTCCTCCCACACTCCAAAGACGTGCTGGTAGGTTAATTGGATCCTGTCTAAATTGGCCCTAGTAAGTGTATGTATGAATGTGAGTTAGGGACCTTGGATTGTATGCCCCTTGAGGGTTAGGGACTGATATGAATGTACAATATATATATGTAAAGCGCTGTGTAAATTGATGGCGCTATATAAGTACCTGAAAAAAATAATAATATAATAATAATCTCTCTCTACCCAACCTCCCCCCCTCCCTCCCCCAGATAGGGGGTGCAAATTTTACTCTTGCCTAGGGTGGCACACAACCAAAATAGACCACTGCCCTAGGGAGTAACTTTTATTCACATTTTCTCCTAAGTACATTACTTTACTTTTTTCAATATTAAACCTCATCTGCCATTTAACTGCCAAGCCCTTGTATCTATGTCTCCTTGTAAAGTTGTGACATTATTGTCCTGCTTAGCTTTGTATCATCAACAAACACAGAGATTGAACTATTTATTCCAACATCCTATATCTAGAAAAATGAAAGAATTTCAATTTGCCTAAAAAGTGACCTTTTCATACCAGTTGGCAGCAAATCTCTAATTGGTTTGTGTGCTATCCAATATTAAACCAATAATTCTAGCAAAAAGCTTGCTTCTTCATGTCTTTTACACATTATTGGTTATTCAAAGTGAACACAGGTTATACATACCTACTCTTAACCATTTTGGAAAGTGAACATATGGGTTTGCAAGTGAACTTCCTCTACTCCTTCATTAAAACCTTCCTGACTGTCTTAATTTTCCCAACTTAACCCTTCTGCTGTTATCTGCTTTCAGATTACATTTGAAGCTGAACGTGGGAAAGGCAAAGCTGGAAGGATAGCCCTGGACAATGTCTTCCTTGTCACTAGTCCATGCCCTGAAGACTGAACCTGATATTATTATATCTAACTGTACTGTATGCCAAAAAAACAGATGTGCCTCATTTTTTATAAGAAAAGAAACTGTATTTTTTTTTTTTTGTGAGATGTGACTATATGGACGTTGGTCACAGTTCCATCTTGTTTACAGACAATGGAAACACATAGAACGCATGAAGGGGAGAGAGTAAGCGTGTGTTCTGGAGTTAACATGTCGTATGCAAATATCCACAATGGCAAATGGTGCTTATAGCTTTGTTTTAGGTAGAATAATCTTTTATAAAACTATTTTGTGGGGCAGTTGATGCAACCTGGCACTAATTAGTGGCAGCATTTTTATCAAATCATTTACCTGCATTATTGTTATTGAAAAGTATTATAAAAGACTAAGTATGCACTGTGAAACATAAAAAAAACATACTTGATGGAACAAACCAAATATTGTAGACAAGTGATGGTGAAATATCCATTTTATATTATTGTTAAAAAAATATTTCCAGTCTAAATATAAATCCTCAATTTGCTTGGGGCTCATCCTAAGTCATAACACAAATAGGTCTTCACATTTTACAAACTGAAAACGAGCACAACAACCATACTCATTTATGCGTAAAGAGCTTGCTGTACAGAAGTCTTAATATGCAGATACAGTCATTTTTCTGAAACAATAATACATTTGGACACAGAATCTAAAATCTGTATTTGTAGCTCCAAAGCCTGCTAAAATTTAGGAGCTGTGAATGATGGGACCCCTTCCTAAAAGGTAAATAGCAAATGGGGAATTTTCATTTTTACTGCAAATTGAATTTAAGCTTTTGGTTACCTATTGTATGGCTCCCTTTTTCTGTGGCTCCATGCATCCCTTTCAAGTTACATACTGGATGGTTACAGAGATGTCAAATCATTATGTAACTCAAAGCAGACATCTTATTTCCTAATAAAGGGAAAGTTTTGTGTATTTTCAGTGAACACATATTCTTGGTATTATTGTAGTGTTTAGCTTCTTGAAGTGATTTTGATATGGCTTACATTTTTATATACTTGCTCTTCCATACATTTGTTACGTAATAAATACAAAGATCTGTAGATTAAGACTAGTAGGAGCATTTAGTGCAAACATGCCTATTAACTCAAAGCAGACCTATACTCAAAAGGTTTTGCAATTTTAGATGGAATATATATATATATATATATATATATATATATATATATATATATATGTGTGTACTGCTGTTCCTGTAGCCTCAAAGCTGGGTATCTGCTGTATGAGATTATTAAAGGCATGTTCAGGCCACTTCTACCTTTGACGTTTTGGAATTAAATTTGGTGATGCCACCACTATGCTGCTCATTGGCCTTCTATGGACTTGCTGGAAAGAAAGCTGTACCTTTGTATCTGCAAAGAAAGGATCTCCCTACTCCCGTTTTTTTAATTCTGTGGATCTGTGACTCATTTACCTTTCCCAATATCTTGGGTTAAATAACATCTGCAAGGAGCCTACAGGCAATACTGATGACTAGTCCTTGGACCTCCAATTGACTTTTTTGGGTACAGTTTTCTCAATACAGGTCCTAAGATTAGAATAGATATTAGCCACCTAGGGGTTTTCTTCAATGGATTAGCCAACTCACACACTTGCATTGCGAGAAGGAGCAGTAAAGCACTACCATTGTGTAACACTACAAAGTTGAATGCAGAGCCTGCATGTGTATTGAATAAATATGGCTGTCCTTATGTACATATATTTACAAACTATATCCAGAAAAGCACTTTCCTATCATGCTGCTGAGATTTGTAATCAGTGTTCTCACTGTAGGAAATAATCAGGTTGGACAATTATAAGGTTCACAATAAGAAAAAGCTATTATACAGGTGAAACTCGAAAAATAAGAATATTGTGCAAAAGTTCATTTATTTCAGTAATGCAACTTAAAAGGTGAAACTAATATATGAGAGAGACTCATTACATGCAAAGCAAGATAGTTCAAGACGTGATTTGTCATAATTGTGATGATTATGGCTTACAGCTCATGAAAACCCCAAATCCACAAACTCAGAAAATTTGAATATTGTGAAAAGGTGCAATATTCTAGGCTCAAAGTGTCCCATTCTAATCCGCTAATTAAGCCATAACACCTGCAAAGGGTTCCTGAGCCTTTAAATGGTCTCTCAGTCTGGTTCAGTAGGAATCACAATCATGGGAAAGACTGCTGACCTGACAGTTGTGCAGAAAACCATCATGGACACCCTCCATAAGGAGGGAAAGCCTCAAAAGGTAATTGCAAAAGAAGTTGGATGTTCCCAAAGTGCTGTATCAAAGCACATTAATAGAAAGTTATGTGGAAGGGAAAAGTGTGGAAGAAAAAGGTGCACAAGCAGCAGAGATGACCGCAGCCTGCAGAGGATTGTCAGGAAAAGGCCATTCAAAAGTGTTGGGGACTTTCACAAGGAGTGGACTGAGGCTGGAGTCAGTGCATCAAAAGCCACCACACACAGATGGATCCTGGACATGGGCTTCAAATGTCGTATTCCTCCTGAACAACAAACAACGTCAGAAGCGTCTTACCTGGGCTAAAGAAAAACAGACCTGGTCTGTTGCTCAGTGGTCCAAAGTCCTCTTTTCTGATGAGAGCAACTTTTGCATCTCATTTGGAAACCAAGGATCCAGAGTATGGAGGAAGAATGGAGAGGCACACACTGCAAGATGCTTGAAGTCCAGTGTGAAGTTTCCACAGTCTGTGTTGATTTGGGGAGCCATGTCATCTGCTGGTGTTGGTCCACTGTGCTTCATTAAGTCCAGGGTCAACGCAGCCGTCTACCAGGAGATTTTGGAGCACTTCATGCTTCCTTCCGCAGACGAGCTTTATGGGGATGCTGACTTAATTTTCCAGCAGGACTTGGCACCTGCCCACACTGCCAAAAGCACCAAAAACCTGGTTCAATGACCGTGGGATTACTGTGCTTGATTGGTCAGCAACCTGGCTGAGAGCTTCCATGCCACGCCACATTGAGGCAGTAATTGCTGCAAAAGGGGCCCAAACCAAGTACTGAGTACATATGCATGCTTATACCTTTCAGAGGTCCGATATTGTTCTATGTACAATCCTTGTTTTATTGATTGCATGTAATATTCTAATTTTCTGAGATTGTGGATTTGGGGTTTTCATGAGCTGTAAGCCATAATCATCACAATTATGACAAATCACGGCTTGAACTATCTTGCTTTGCATGTAATGAGTCTATCTCATATATTAGTTTCACCTTTTAAGTTGCATTACTGAAATAAATGAACTTTTGCACGATATTCTAATTTTTCGAGTTTCACCTGTACAATTTCTTATAAATATTTCTATAACATAAACATGGGATATCCCAAACTTGTTTAGGACAAATACTGTAGGTAGGGATTGCTCTTTTGTGTTCTTCACTAACCCCATTTTATTATCTATTATCTAATGAAAGAAGCATACGCTTCAAAAGAGCTGTTTCATCCCTTAAGCTGAATTTCGGGGCTCCTTCCTACCATCATTAACCTGTGCCACCCAAGTCAGCCTAGTTGTTTGGCACTATGCTACCTAAAAGATAACAGCCCATCCAGTACATTTGTGGCATACGTAGCAAGATAGGTAGGTAAAATCCAGGAGTCAAAGCAGGCAAGAACGGCTGCATGCAAGCAGGTCACAGCTCCCTATACTTTTGGAACTGTACTAAGGTGATGACATGGAGCTGCAGTCTAGGAAGATTCACAGTCTTGCACTGCCCTTAGCTCCTGCAGTTTACTGTGCTGTGATAGTTTGACTGACAATTAGTTGACCATGCAACATTGTACGCAAATGCATTTTGCACAATTGTTTTGAGACAAATTGAACTTTCTTTTGATGATATTTAATAATCGCTGGGTTTTTATATTTGCAATATAAAATTGAAAAGTCAATTGGACAACATTGACTGGCGGCATGTGCATGCAAATTAATGAATGGAATGAAATTCAGATACATTCGTTATCTGAATAAGAATTATTGAACAAACTGGAAAATGTAATTCATTTCCCCATAGGCTCAAACTACTATCACATCATGTGACATCATCCAAATGAAACAAATGCATTTGTTCATTTCTTTATAACTTTTTAAGGATTTGTTGACATACGTTACTGTGTCCATTTGGAGATTCAGATACATCCGAATCTCCAAAAATGACATTTTTGTCTGAAAAATGAATCAAAACAAAACGCAGATGTCTATGTTGACAGTAGTGTAGTGACTAAACTAGAAACTAGAGATAAGCATACACCGGACATTTCTGTCAAATTGAATCATTTCATTGTAATGCACTAAGTCAATGGAGAAGGAAATATTAAAGTGGTTTTTAAAGGTTTGATGAGCTTTATAATGTTCCTGAAGGTTACAGAAGCCCCTTTTCACTATCTTGGCCTATTTCTGTGCCAAAAAATTCTAATCCTAACATTAACTCAAACCCTAGCTAACAATAACAATATCCCTAACCATTTGTTTAAAAACGAAGACATGTGCTTGCCATGACCACACTGTTATGGCTATCATATGGCATTGTTGATGATAAACAAAGTCACTGATAAGCATAGTGAACAATTATTAACAAAGTGGTAAGCAATGGCTTCTTTAAACACATTGTAATCACTATTGTGATCAATGGCTTTGTTATTGTTTATTCATAAAAAAAGCTATGTCACATAGAAATGGGATCTGACATGGCTTTGTTTGTCAACAAAGCCATGTCACACAGTGTTGGGATGCTGCATACTCCAAGCTTTAACCACTTGCCCGCCGCCCTATAGCAGATATAAGGCTACAGGGTGGCAGGGGTGTGCAAAATCATGTGTATATATACACGTGATTTTGCATTTCCGGGTAGGAGGCTGCGCAAGCCGCGTACGCGCCCTATCTGCGCTGCCATTCGCGGCAGTGGCTGTCAATCACCAGGTCCCAGCCGGTGATTACCGAGGATCTCCGATTGGGAGGAGGGCTGCTT